ACCTCAAGTTTTATTACAATGAGAGCATTAAAGCAGTACGTACAACATATATACCTTGTACGTAAATAAATAAATAAATAATAATAATAATAATAATAATAATAATAAGTAGGTATCCTCCACGCAGTAAAAAAAAAAAAAAATAAACACTTATGTGCGCTTTTAAACCTTCCACATATTGCGAATGATAAAAAATAATATTAATATATGATATATTATTTGAAATACTTGAACAAATGATATAAAAAATTATTGATGTGCGGTGACCTCAATCTGTGATAGTTAAAACACGATGGATATTATACTTAAAATTAAGGATTTTGTTTGATTAAGTTTAACACATGTATGTTTCCATTTTTGTGTTTATAGCGAATACACACAAAAAAAAAAGAAAATAAGAATATATTCTATTCATTTAATTATTATTATTATTTTAATTATAATATATATAGGGATAGTAGAAGATTAGCAGAAATTTTCGGTCCAATGTATCACCATCGATGTCATTAATGTGTTAATTGATTTGATATATTGGAAAAACAATTCTTCAAAAAATGGTCTGCAAATTTTGTCCTTTTAAAAAGCGTGTAGAAAAAAAAGAAAAAAAGAAAAGAACACCTTTGTAATTTGTTCCTCGATAAAAAAAAAAAAATTAACAATATATTATATTAAGAAATGTAGTTTGTGTATTATATTAAAATATAAAATGAAATTACAAAAACAACTTGTATAGAAAGAAGGAAAAAAGAAAAGAAACAAATAACAATACGTAATGAATAATAATAATAATAATAATAATAATAATAATAATAATAGAAAAAGTGATACAGTGTAATTTTCATTACTATAATTTCAATGAAATTATGTTAAGTGATGAAACTATGTGATAATACAGCACATGTTTCATCGGTGACATTAAAAATGAACGAATTTTGATTTACTTTCATTGACAACGTTTCTTTCTTTTCTTTTTCTTTAGAAATGAGATATGCAGGGTCATTAAATAATATTAGCAATTATATTTTCAATATGTTGATTATGTGATATTGTGATTTTAGCATAAGTCCTAAGACATTAACTCGATTGAAGTGTACTGATGAATGAGGTCGCTGTTAATCAATGATTTAATTGCAAAAGGTGAGGGATGATGATGACGATGATGATGATGATCATTTTCACATTTTTTAGGCCATCCAAATGTATATCTAATTGCACAGATATCGACTATTCTCAGAGAGAGAAAGAGAGAGAGAGAGAGAGAGATAAGGAAAAAAGAACAAATAATATCCAAAATAATTATGTCTCTGACTGCTAAAAGAAAAAAAGAAAATAAGTGCGATGTAAAAGAAATGTATATTATAATTAGTATAAACAGACTACAATGTAGTTTGTTCGTAATAAAATAAACGAACAAAACAAGAAAAAAAAAACAAAAAAAGAAAACACTTGTGTAATAAAGTAGTTATCATTAACAAATTTCTTATCAGTTTGTTCTGTTTGATTTTGTCAACTTTACCTCCACCATTTTCTCCTTAAATAGTATTGTATCAAGACTTGTATAATTCAATGTTCTTTATTCAATTTCAACATCGATTATAGCATCTTCAACGATCACTTGTTCACATGTTACAGGAACTTGTAATATAGGTAAAGGATCAGGTGATCGTGTGTACATGTTACTAGCAGTATGTTCCTTCAAATATTCACCACCTTTTTCTGTATACTCTTTAAAAGTAACAAGATATTCAGGTAAATTACCACTCAAACCAAAATCTCTAGCACCATACCAAGAATCTAAACTAGTGTTTTTGGCTACGTTGATTTGAAAACTCGAACCAAATGGTCTTATTTCTTTGAGTTCACGTTTAAGTCTTTCAAGTAATCCTGGAAATGCTGTTGATCCACCGGTGAGAAAAACGTTGCTTACCAATCGTTTTTGTTGTACAGGGGAATATAATTTTAAGACAAATTCAATAGTCTCGGCTAGGCCAGCTTCTATAGAACCTATCATCGAAGGTTGAAAAAGTAATTCGGCTGCTCTCAATCGTTCAACTCCAACATGTAATTGATGAGTTTCTCCAGGTATTAAAGGAACGCTAGAACCAGCACCATCAAATTCTGGATCATGATGACGAAGAACGTCCTCGAGTTCTATTAATTTTTCTTGTTCTAATTCTGAATCTGAATCACCACCTTCCTGTCACGCAAAATGTATTCTATTATTAGAACTAACTCTCATTTCTTATATATATAATAATAATAATCAAATTTCACTAACCCTATTAATAACTTTATATACATCCCAGTCTTCATCTCTCATACCAAAATCGTCATCACGTTTGTCTTTTCTTGCTAATTGACTAATTATACGCATTCTTTCCTGTGCAGCTGCTGTTCTACGTTTGGCCATGTCTTGTCTACGTTGTCTCTTTGCCATACGTTTGTCTAATATTTCTTGTCTAAAATTATTGATTAATATTTATTCTCATTAACATTTCTAATATTTTAATTTGAAATATATATATATATATATATTAATTAACCTTCTCTTTCTAACACCAGAAATCCATTCTTCAAAGTCTTGTTGATCCTTTGGTTGTAAACTTGATTTTATTTTAGGTTTTTGATCTTCCATAACGATGTTCTCTTCTTGCGAATTGGCAGCGACAATCTTTTGTCTGGTTCTTTCAACCTTAGCTTGTAAATTATTTATCATTTTAATTAGATCCGCTTCGTTTGCCAAAGAATAAGTTTTCAATGCTTGATCAAACTCATCCGTTTCGCCTTCTTCCAAAAGATCTTGTATTGCTAATAATTGATTCAAATTTTCTTCATCTTCAGCTAACTATTTGATCAAATATATTTTCAATTTATATTACACATTCAATTAAACAAAACAATAATAATAATAATAATAATAATAATAATTAGAATCATTTGTTTTACTCTTTCTTCTCTTTTTCTTGCATTGATTTCCATCAATCTCCTAGCTAATTCCCTTTTCCTTTCTTTCTGTTGTTCAAGGGTTAAACCAGGAGTACTAGAAGGTGCAATGTAAGGTAATTGAACCCTCAACACATTGGCATCGTAGTAATCTGGATCAGCCCATTTGGAAACAACTTCTTGATAATTCAATGCAATCATGGAATGTTCATGTATCAATTCCTACCATTATAAATATTTCATTAATTTAATAATAATAATGGAGAATATAAGAATATACATTACACTTACTTCTGCACGACTAAGAGTTATTGCATTAACATGTACAGGATATTTAAGTTGAAGTAATCTGTGCATGTAAGATGTAATATGATAACCACCAATATTAATTCTCCTAGCATTAACCGGATCTGCTTTGCCATCTAATACGGGTATTATATGGGTTGTATGGTATCCAATGCTAACGATTAAACCATCCGATGGACAATTGTTATGTTGATATGAAAGTAGACAATCAACACCATAAGCTATTGATGGTACATTGTAACATTCGAATAAAAGTTCAGCCATTACTGAAACATTTTCATATACTTAATAATATGTTTTGTTTCTAATTAAATGTATTCAATATTGAAAACTAATGCAACTTACAATTTCGTGAATAATTAGGATTCAAAAAAGCTTCTGTTAAGATAATTGGATGATTAACACAACCTTCCGTATCAATTCCCATATGGGTAAAGGTGTAATCAAAGATTTGTTCTTGAGCTTCAAAATGAGTAACAACATTTCTGTCGAATTGTGTTTTCAATTGAAATCTTACAGCTTCTATGTTAACTATGTCGTTTCCTACTTGAGGTTCTCCATCTTTCTTGCCACGTTCCTTTCTTGGTTTTGCTATGAGATTCTTAAATATTAACTGTGGTTCTTTTTCAGTAGCCCAACCAACTCTACAATTGTATGAACCTAAAATGAAATATATTTTAATATTTATTTCAAAAACCAAATATTGGATCTTATACAATATTAAGTGTAAAATAATATCTTACCATTATCGATAACCAATGGTATACTCTCATTCTTTATTTTATATGGATAACTATGAATAATATCTGGAACAGCTTTTATATCTTTTAGTTCAAGAATTTCCATATTAAATAAATTTAAGGTGCACTGATTTAAAATTACAACAACATATTTCTAAACATAACCTCTTAAGTGTCACTGACACTTCATTTATTAATATATATCACTGATATATTATTATTAAAAATGAAATACAATAGACACACACACAATATATTAAGAATAGTTAAATAAATAATTTCTCATTATTATGTTATTAAATATATTGCCACATTTTTAATTAATTTTTAATCATTTTATGATATTACGCAGGTATAAACTGTTACGATGTGAAATTCGTGCGATTGTACACAACGTGATACGTATTTGGTTCGAGTTCTATGACTTACGTAGTAATGGCGCCAAATTTACGCTAGTTTAAATATGAAGTTATATTGTATATCATTATTTTCTATCTTTTTCGTGATTAATAATTAAATGAAATATTAAATATTAAAATTAAACATAAAAATAATTAAATGTGTAATTAATTCTCGTATTTTGAGAAATATTTAATAAGTAATTCTCATTTTAAATTGTAAAAAAAAAAAAAAAATATATAAAACGAATAGAACAAATGAAAAAATTCCAAGTTCGATATATCGACAGATAAACGCGCGAAAAACAAAACCAAATATAAAAACAAACGAACTAATTTTATTAGAAAAATACGTGGCCTATAAAAACGATTAGAAATACTTTTACCTTGCCATGATTACTTTTATTTATTTATCTTTTCTTTTGTCTTCCTTTTTTTTTTTTTTTTTTTTTAAAACGAATGCACCAAACGTGATTGAAAAAGTTGCAATGCTTTGTAACGCGTTTGTGAGATAAAGTAAAAGAGAAATAGAAAAGGGTGTTAAAAAAAAATTATCTTTTTATTTTGACTCTTAGGGTAGAAATGAATGAAAATCCGCGCGCTTATTTGAATCGATCGATAAGAAAACAAAAAATAAAAAGCAAAAAGAATTTTTCAATAAAATTCTTAGAAATTTGGTTTTACAGAAGAAAAGAAGAGTAGATTTTAGAAAAAAAAAAAGAAAAAAGAAAAAAAAATAGAAAAAAGAAAATGAAAAGAAAGAAATGGTTGTTGAAGAAGAAGAAGAAGAAGAAGATAAAGAAGATGAAGATGATACAAGAGAAAGTTTTGGCAAAGTTGAAGTTTACATCGGTTGGATGCGCCTGAGCGCTTGAGCGCATCGATTTTCTACTTTGTCAAATTCTTTCACGATACTTTCACGCGTTTTCCGCTTTCGAGATTTTGGGTCAAACTCGGAGACTAATTTTTCAGTATTACAAGGAAATAAATGCTATCCGAGATATACGAACGAAAAACTACGATGTAATCGATATTCCTGACTAAAAACTTTTTCATACAAACTTTCGTCGATAAATTTTCCATCAAAATTATAGTTATACCTCATTTTTTTTTTTTTTTTTAATAAAAATATTAAAAAGAGAGTAACAACATTGTACTATTTCTTTTTTTTTTTTTCTTCTAAATAAATCACGTTTAATTTACAGTTAGGTAATTTTTTTTTTTTTACAAATCACTATAATTATATTTGTGTATTTTATTTTATTTTTTATTAATATATATATTTTTTTTAATTTTATTTTATTAATATTTATTAAAATGAATATTTTTCTTTATCTCATTATATTATATTTATTATAATTTATTTTATTATTATTATTATTATTATTATTTTTTAAATTATTAAAATACAATAATATTAAATTTTATTTATTTATTCATAAAAATATTATTTATTATCTTCTATTTTTATTTTGTCAAATTATTGAATAAATACCATTAACATTAATATTAGTTAAACATACATAGAAAACCACACACACATATAGAAAGTGATCTATCTAATTGAAAAGTTAATACAATTAACTCTGAACTTTCAAAGGTAGATCATGATTGATCAATATTTCACTCGCACATCTTTTTCTTTCCTTATACACCCCATCTATCTTTCTTTTTAATCTTATTTTTTCCTCTCTTTCTTCTTTACTTGATTTTGTTTCTTAAACATGTTTCCCCGATGGGACTTGCCTTTTACTTACCTCCCTTAACTTGTAATCTCACAAATTTACATATTCAATGAAGCATCTAATTGTAACTTTGTACAGTACAGTGGAAATACGTGTCACTGCATTTATCATAACAAGGTTGAACAACTTTTTAACTAAACTTTTCACTCACTTCTTTTAACATCTTCATCTTCATCTTCATCTTCAACATCTTTTATACGTGTTTTCCCTACGTTATGTGGTATTCTTATTTACTTCATTCTTTTATCCTAAATCTTTTCATTTAACCCCTGAGTCCCATTATTATTTTGCTAATTGATATATTGTTTAATTATCTTGAAAATGTGGATCACGAAAGACTCTGTGTTTGTTAACCAGTTAACTCTGATTAACGAGTCTACTCGTCATGGAATAGTTTATTGACGAGTATACTCGTCATGCGTATAAAACAATAATAACCATTGATTATTTAAATTGTCATTTTTGAGATGAGAAACAAAACATATTCTAACATTATAAGATATTTCGAATATTTTCAGATAATGTTGAAATCAAATGCATTTATTTATGCATGAACCGTACTTGTTTACGAACTTAAGTAAGGTTAAAGTAAAGAACAGTATTCAGTAGAAAAAGGAAAATAGGAATAAAAGAAGAAAGAGGAGGAGAGGAAAATTTGCGGCATGGAAAGAGTAATACGACAGAGAAAAATAACTTTATCCACGTAGTTTCATCGTTTCGTATCTCTTACGATTTCCACGTTTACCTTGAGAGAGAGTGAGAGAGAGAGTAAGAGAGAGAGAGAGAGATAGTAGTACCTGTACCAGCTTTTATACTAATCGCCATGGAACGACTCTTCCACGAGAGTATCTAATTGAAAATTTATACAACCAACTAACGAACGCATTAAACATTTTCTTAATTAATATCAAACATTAATTATATCAAGAAGAAGAAGAAGGAGGAAGAAGGAAGAAGGAAGAAGAAGGAAGAAGAAGAAGAAGAAGAAGAAGAAGGAGCTTCTAAAATGCAACCCGACGACCTATACAGGTGTACGTAGTATGCGTCCGATTATAGATAAGTATATGAGGATTAATAACCTTCCCTTTCTCTTCCTCTTCCTCTTCTTCTTTCCCTTTTCCTCACCCATTTTCTCTCTGTTTAAAGAGAGGGAGATGCAATTTTCTACCACGTTTGTGCTACTCTTACCTGTTCATATCGACTTAAGTGATTAATTAAATTCAATTTTATATGCGCAAGATAAAAAGATTCTAAAAAGTGGGACGGCACACTGGGTTGTTGTTATTACTTTTTTTTTTTTTTTTTTTCAATATAACTAGAACAAAATAATTTGTAACTATACTGAATAATTATATTATATATAATATTTCAGAATCAGTTATAATTCACACACACACACACATTTATTTATATATTATTAATATATTAATTATATATTATACATACTTTAATATTATACATTAATATTAATATTAATATTATATTATACATTACATATTATACATTATAATTATAAATAATTAATAATTAATTTGTATAATTATATGAGTATTGATTATAATTAACCTTTATTATCAGGTTTTGATTTTATTTGATGATTCGTACTATTGTTTCGATAAATATTCCACCACAAGATATTGTTCAATATTATAAGAATTAATTTATTATTTATTAAAAATGATTTTTTTTTTTTTTTAAATTTATTTGAAGGGAAATACTAAAAAATATATGAGAAAAAAAATTATCTATTAATTATTTAATTAAATATTCATAAAATTACTTTTAATATTTGTATGTCACTTCTAACGTGACTTACGACAAATATATAATTATTAATATTATATTATACAATAACGNATATGAGAAAAAAAATTATCTATTAATTATTTAATTAAATATTCATAAAATTACTTTTAATATTTGTATGTCACTTCTAACGTGACTTACGACAATTTTTTTTTTTTTTTTTTAATTTTATCAAATAGATGCTTCAATTAGAAGCACTGGACGACACAGGATGATATTGTCTGAGAGTAAGGATTATAGGAGGATGATCATACCTGTGTTCGTCGTCTCTAATGACAACCGACCTGATTACTCGCTCTACCGATGACTCCTTTCTCCCTTCTCTCCTCTCTAATACACACACACACACACACATACACACACACCCACATCTACACATATATACATATCTATAGACATATTCCCTCTATCTCACTTTATCAGCTGACGAATTAGTCGCTCGTCCACATCTATTCGCTTAACGGTAGTCTCTTCCAGGTGTGTGTGTGTGTGTGTGTGTTTGTGTGTGTGTGTCTCTCTCTCTCTCTGTATGTGTATGTATAGGTAAGTACTATTCCCTTGTTGAGAAACAATAGAAACGCCCAGAATCTCTCACTGAATCACGAGAGATTTTGGTTGGGCTTTTGAGATCCTTGAGAGTATAGTTGTTGAGAGAAGAAATTGATCAGTTGAACATAGAAATAAAATGAATATGAACAATCTGATAGTTTTAGACAGACAGATAGACAGATAGATAAGATTTTTACATTGAATTAATTTAATTAATTTTTGTAATATTTGATTAGATATAACAGTTAGACCAAAAAGACATAAACGGATAGATAGTGGCAAACGAAGGAACTGACAAAGACAGATAGACAAATAGATAGCTAAAGAATGAAAACAAGAAAAGCAAGCCAAAGGAAGAAAGAAAGCTAGAAAGAAAAGGGATAAAGGAAACTCGATAAAACAGCAAATCAGAGTAAGAGAATTCTCCAGAGGGGTTGGTGGAGTTGCCAGCACGAAGGGAAAACAAAATAGGGTGAAAAGTGCGACAGGTAGGTGGGTAGTGTTCCCATAGGAAGTACCCGTTGATATAAATCAATGCTACACCGATAAGGTTTTCCTCTCTTTTTAAAGAAAACGAAAAACCAACAAGAAAGAAAGAAAGAGAGAGAGAGAGAGAGAGAGAGAGATAAAGATAAAGAAAAGAGAAGATTTCTTTTATCTTTTGTTTTAGCTGTTAACCCTGGCCCTATCCTGGTGGCCTGTTTTGCCTTGAACTTTAACGTAGACTCCAGTTTTCCTTATCCCATACAA